GGAGCGGGGAGCGGGCCGGGGAGCGGGGACCGGGCCGGGGAGCGGGGATCGGGCCGGGGAGCGGGGACCGGGCCGGGGAGCGGGGATTCCGCGGCAGGAGGGCAGGAACACGGTGGGCTCTGCGCCGGCCACGAACGATCCCCGAGTCCCCGGTGCACCGCTGTGCGGCATTGGGCTCCAGCACCGCGGGGGTCGGCGCTTCGTGCTCAGTGTAAAGAGGGAAGAGGAATCTCTTTTCGGACACAAACCCTTCTCTGTACCATTCCATGAGAAATTATTTTGTGTTTTTCTTAGTTTTTTGCTTTTGATGGTTTGTTTTGAGGGGGGTCTTTAACATGCTGGATGTTATTTGAAGGATGTGAAACCTTTTTTTTTTATTATTTTTTTTTCCCCTAAGCATATTTTGCATACTAAAATTTTGTAGCTTGAAGTCTCACTGCTGCGGCAGTTAGCAAGTAAAAGGCACTTTGTGCTTCCTTTAAAGGAAAGCTGAACATTGGCATTGACACCATTCAGCATGGGGTAGACGGACTAGTGTATCTTCTTACTGAGAGTTCCAAGCTTATGGCAAGTATACCTTTTCATAAGGAATTTGGGGATACGCTCAAGAGATGTCTTCTGGGCACTTAGCCCTCTAAAAATGATGGTGAAAAGATATCTCGAAATTTTAATGTCTTGACCTACAGGTTACAGTGTACTGTGGTAGAATGTGGTTGGTTACAAACTGTGTCTGCAGGGTGGTGCATTGGAGAGGTACAATGGCATTTTCTGTGGAGTCACTAGCAGCTTCCCCAGTGCTGGGCTAGGCTGCTACAGTAAGCACAAAAGCTTGTGAATCTTCTCCTGCCTTTGGGAGAGGAGCCTGAGTATTGTGTCTTGTGTTGCTCATGTGCAGATTACACATTACAGATTAGTGGCACAGTAGCACCCTGACAAATGTATTCACACAGCATGTTGTGCCTTGTAACACAACTGAGGTGCTCCCTCATGCTGTGTCTTGGTCTTTGATGTGAAGGCTTACATGTGAGGGGGTTGAATGTTCTTAAAAAAACTGTTCTTGAAATTCATACAAATCTGCAGTAATATATCAGCATCTGTAGATCCTTGTAAACCTGGATATTTGTTTTGTCCAAGATGTAGAATTGTACTTGAACATTCCTGCAGGAGAATAGCTGTACCATAGTATATGTGATGTTTAGTTACAGTTTTATTTTCTTTTCAAGAAATAATGATGATTACCTGGCCTAATTTGTTATTTCTAGATTTCTGAGGTTGACTTTCAAGATTCCATTCATGTTTTGGGATTCTCAGATGAACTGAACAAATCTTTGCTCCAGCTGTACCTTGACAACAGGAAAGAGATCAGGAGCATTCTTGGAGAGCTAGCACCCAGGCTTCCCAGCTACCACAGTCTGGAGTGGAGACTGGATGTGCAGGTGACTTCCCTGATGTTTTTAGTATTCCATCTTTTCCTTCCCATTTTTTTTACATAATAAAAACACACTAAACATTGTAAAAATAATTGAGACAGCAGTACTTAATGTATTTAAAACTGACATGACTTTGTTAGTGTCCCACAGACAGCCAGTTGTGAGATGAACAGTATATGCAGTGATGCAAAGTACTTATTGCCTGATGAAAATTGAATTAATGGCTCTATTGGTATTTTTAAAACATTAACATATACTGAACATATTTGGTCTTGATTATCACCTTATTTTCAGAAATATTATGAAAGCATTGATTAAAGTGGGTTAGTATTCCTTAATTATAAAACACAATAGCAGCTTGTTTTTTCAACCACATCTTTAATGTGAATGAAACAGGTTTCTGAACAGTCATGCAGGCAGGTTCTACAAGGCTGATGAGAACTGTTAAGAACAAACATTGATAACCATGTTACCAATTTCCTGTTCCTGTCCCACTGAACCCCACCTGCAGCTTGCAAGCAGAAGTTTGAGGCAACAGATCAAGCCTGCTGTGACTATGAAGCTACATCTTAACCAAAATGAAGATCAAACTGCCCAGGTGTTGCAAACTGACCCTGCTACCCTTCTCCACCTTATCCAGCAACTGGAGCAGGCATTGGGGGAGATGAAGATGAACCACTGTAGAAGAATAGTGCGCAACATGAAATAACCTCAACTCCTCTCTGCTCTCTTACTAAGCAGTTTGTAAAACAACTCAAAACATTGCTCACAAATATATTTTGAGGAAAAATAAACATCTGGATCAGATGAACTGTTTTCCTGTGCCAGGATCTTGAGCCAGTATTTACTGGCCAAATGTCCTCAGCTGCCAGCTTTGCACATTTATATGTGGTGATCTTTTTCATAGAACCATCTTCATATATAGTTCTGTAGTAACTAAATGTGATCAAATATTACTGCTTTTGATTTTTGATTAGTATTTTTCATGTAATTGATCTCTGTTTTCAGATGAAACACAAGATTAGCTCATACATAGGTGAGTGGCTTCCCTCATTCTGTCTCTCCTCACTACAGCCATAGTCTGGAACTCAGGGCAGCAAAGCAGGAGTTTTAGATACAAATCCTAGAAGCTTCTTCTGTTGTTTCACTAGTGCCTGATGAATCTGAACATATTTACCTTTTTTTCTCTTAGAATGTTTTAAATAAAAATCCAGCTGCTATAGAGCTGATTGGCATCATGGTAAGTGCTGGCAGTCTATACACGGCTCATATCCTGAAGCATGTGCTAACTGAGAGTGTTGAGGGTTTTCCTTGGGGATTCTGAGTAAAATGGTCAGTTGAGAATGCAGAATGTCTCTGGAGAGCCTGCATGTTCCTTTGTGCAGTGTGTTGCAACAGTGAAAAAGGAAAAGCTGCAACACTGAATGGTTTTGTTTCCTTTACAAAAAATTACCTCAGCTAAAGATGATCAAAGGTAAGCTTTGAAGCTGGATGAAACTGAGAGAAACTCAAATGCTGGCAGTGATCCACAAACAGACTCAAGGAGAGAGGGAAGGAGAAAGATCCTTTACACCAAGCATCTTACTTGTAAATTGTACCTTTCAGTTTGTTCTGGGGGAAGTACTTAGCCTGGAAAAGCAGTTGCTCAGCAGCAGGATTTGGGCTTAATTATTGGAAAGGAAGATTTGCCTTTCAATGAGGTTGGTACTGGTCTACACCTCTGCAAGTTCTCACTTCTCTGTCTTCACAGCATCCAGGGCAGCTCCTGTGGGCTTAGCACTTAAGCCCCGCTGGTGAGTGTGCCTGCACAGCAACCGGCTCTGGCTGTCGGTGCCTCTGTACAGCGGCTGAGGCTGGGAGTGAAAAGGCACATGTGTCAATAACCCAGAGATACTGGTAAAATAGGAACTCACCCTTGGATGCAGACTTTGATTTTATTGTAAACTCCCAAATTAAAGGTGGCATATTAAGCTAAATTTAACACATCTTCTGTAATTTGCACTTGCTTTATAGAAACCCTTGAACGTGACAGGGAGACTACAAAGTATTTTTCACAAGCTACTAAAAAGTTTGGTTGCTGCTTTTAACCCATTTTATTTTTAATAGAGTTTTTAAAATTTACTACTGTTCCATTGTGTTCTTTGTTCTCCACTGCCATATAGTTCAGAGGAAAAGAAGTTTTCTGTTCCTGTGTGGCTGTTCACAAATGGTCATGGAGCACCCAGCTGTAGTTACTGCCTGCTTGGAGTCTCCTGGCACAGAGCAAACCCAAAGCAGAGACAGAACCATGCCAGGCTGTGCTGTGCACTGGTCTATTGAGAAAGAATAAGGCTTGCCCAGAGACCCTGAAGTGTTATTTTATAACAGACATCACACATGCTGCTTCACCTATGTAGGTTTTCTCAGAAAAATGTTATTTTTATTAAGAGCTTTGACATAGAGCAGTGATGGATCTTGATTAAAAATTACGTGTGGCATTATTTCTTTAACTCATTAGATGCTCATCATATAAGGGTACCTTTAAAAGTGCACTTCTTCTGAGCTGTTTGGTTTTTCATTGAAGTAGAGATTGAACTTGCTGCTAGAAAATCGATTACAAATAGGGTATATTCAAAGTACTGGGCTTTATAAATTCTTCAGATGAACACAAAATCTCTGTGCTATTCAAAAACATTTGAACACCATGTGAAATTGAGATAAAATAATGTTATTGCCTTATTTTTTACAATGTACAATCTTGCAATGAGAACAAAGAAATAATGATAAGGAGCTTTCTATATCACATTTGTGATTTGGCTCCTTTATCACTTAATCCAGCCCCATTGTGATGGAAGTGTCCTCGTCTTCCACAGACTTGAACATTTTGAGTCACTTGCCCTGAAAGCTGGTGGTCATATTTTTTTGTCCAAAGAAGGAAGTTACTATTTCTAAACAAAGACTAGTGACAACAATACTATGAAAATTTATACTTATGGTTCTAATCACTTCCTAATTATTGGAGAAAAACACTTTAGCCTACACCAAGTGGTACAATAGCAGATAATTGTATTATTCAGTAAAAAGTGCAGCTGAAATACATCTTGTTGAAGAAGATGGTTCTAATTGTAATAAATGTGGCTTAGGTTTAAGACAGATGCGTACATACTCACGCATAAGATGCCAGGCTTATGAAAGTGGTTTAATTATGATAGATGAGATGGCCCCATGCATGAGACTGTCAGAGCCTTCCTTTGAAGGGACATGTTGCCTAGAAAGGAATGGAACAGGTAGAGAGTGCGTGTTTTGTGTTCACTCGAAGATACAGAGCCCTGGAAGCAAAAAAAGCTCTTTTAAAGGCTATGAAAAATCATTCATGTTCAGATCATTATCTGTGCAACAACCACATGCACACACCCTCAGAATCTCATATGCAAAGGATTTAAATAAGGCTATTGCAGGAAAGAAAAAAAGATACGTAATGTCTGCATAGCCCTGGAGCAGGTGCTGTGATTAGCACTGCTCTTTGAGATTGTTGCAGCAAGGAATCCAGTACAAAGCAGTAAAGAATGGTACCAGAATTCTTTGGGAAGGGAAATATAAACAAGTCTCAGGAGTACTGGGTTTCCTGACCAGAAATACAGCAGATGTTGGGAAAATAACAAAAAATTAAAAACCCTCAAAACAAAAGCAACAAAACCCTCAGACCCTCACAAAAACAAAGAACAAAACAAACCTCAAGGAGGAGATCTGCCAAGCCAATGGAACTATGAACAGGAAATGTGGTGAAATGTGACTTACAAGGAATATTTGTTGAAACAAAGCCATCAGGAAATGCATAGGATCTGTTTCACAGAGCTAGCTGTAGTTCCTGTACAGGCTTAAACTGCAACTCTGAGAATCTGCATAAACAACATTTTATGTAACTGATTGGAGGGACAAAGATGGTTCGGTCAAGCCCACATTCACCACTAGAGAAGCCAAATGCAATTTAGAGAAGTTTATGCATCTTTTAAAGAAATAAGGAATAAAGTTCAGAAAAAAATTACTTAAGGCTTTTCTAAGTGTAGATTCTGATTACTGAGGAGGGTATATTCTTATCACCATAGCTTAGAGTCTAAAACACAGAAATAAAATAACAAAATGCATTACTAAAATAATAAAAATAAAATGCTAAATAAAATAATGTGCTTGTTTAGCCAGTGTGTGATATCTGTGTGTGTAGTCATAAAAATACTGGATGCTTCCCTCTGTAAAAACCAACACATAAGATGGAAAGTGAACAATATTATTCTTTATAAATAAAGCTACTGAACTTGAACTATTTTTGGTCACATCGCTATTCAAAAGTTATTCCAAGTGCACCAAGAAAGGGGACAAGATTAAAACAACAATTGTATTTATTAATTATAGAAAACCTCAGGTATGCATTTTGATGCCAGCTCTGGTTTCTAGTATAGGCTAAACCAAAGACAAGAGACTGAATGGGCAGTCAGCAGAGTTGCACAAAGCATCACGCCTGCATTTGAAACTACCCCTATGGACAGTGAGCTGGAAGGAGTTAAGATACAGCTCTGGACTCATACTTGCCAGCAAAGAGCCAAACCTTATCCAAACCACAGCGAGGTGGTTGCTGTCCATGTCACGACGAATGCTTCATTCCTCCCCATCGCCATAGCATCACTAAACTATGCAATTAAACTTGTACGTGGACTAATTTAAGCATAATTTTGCTTCCAGAAATTATCACCCATTAACTTTCTGAACAACGCTTCTGGAGCAAAGCTCATTAGTTTGGCAGAGACAAAGCGCTCCGAAGGTTCCCCGGGCACCACGCGCTGGGGCTGGACGGGGGCAGCCGCTCCGGGCGGGCCCCGGCGGCGCAGAGAGCAGGCACAGTCCCGGCACAGCCCCGGGACAGAGCGGCACAACCCGGGACAGCCCCGGGACAGAGCGGCACAACCCGGGACAGCCCCGGGACAGAGCGGCACAGCCCCGGCACAGCCCCGGGACAGAGCGGCACTGCCCCGGCACAGCCCCGGCACAGAGCGGCACAGCGGGGCGACGCGAGAG